TCAGATAATTGACTGTGACTGATATTTTTTATAAATAGTTTCATGGTTTGAATTGGTTCAGTTCCCTCAGATCTTGATCAAGAGGAACATTGAGGCCGACAATGCTATTATGATTTTGCAGCTACATATGATAGGTTTGATCCGGAATTCCATGGCGATTCGTAGCCGGAGATTGCAGCTGAGCAACAGAACTCGTGGGACGATACAAATGAAGAGAAACACATCTCCAATTGAATTATGTAAGCCAACTTAATGCGGTATTTGCCATGAGATTAATCTTTTCTATTAACAGGAAAAAAATGAATGAAAAACAGAAACTCACAATCAGCTTAAAATACATTACACAGAAGGGTCGTATTATACTTGTATCTCATCAACAATAAATATGCACTTAGAATCAATATGAATAAAAGAATAATTCAATTACTAACTGGCCAAAAATAAAAGAATAACAACGCTTCTCTAATCTCCACTGTACTATACCAAATACAATAACAATACCTCTATGTTCTTCCCATCTTGGCGGTAATCTATAATTCTCTCTCTATATGCAGCTCTATTCAGTTGCTGGTTGAGTTTTGGCGCTATCCTCACCAGAAGTAGAAGTCTTAATTTCTTCCAGTTGCTGGAGAATTTGCTGAATGTCCGGCCGAGCAGCTGGTGATGGATCGACACAATGCAGGGCTAGTTTTAAGGTGTTCAGCAGTTCATCACCAATATTTGGTGCGTCTTTCATAAGCTCCAGATCAAACACTTCATTTGTCCACTCCTCCTTTACTATTGAGGCCACCCACTGAGGTAAATCCATTCCATCCATGGCTTCTCCAGGAGATTTTCCTGTCAAAAGTTCCAATATTATGACTCCAAGGCTGTAGACATCTGTCTTTGTTGTGGTTTTTTTGGTTTTTGTTAGCTCTGGTGCATTGTAGCCCTGTGTTCCTGCAGTGGCAATCACATTTGTGGCTGCAGCTGAAGTCATGAGCTTAGGAAGCCCAAAATCTGCAATGCGAGCATTGGTCTGATCATCCAGCAGAATGTTGCTGGACGTGAGGTACCCATGAATTAGATTCTCCTCTGTGTGGAGGTAGTTCAAGCCTTGCGTGATTCCGATCGCTATTTTCATCCTCATTGGCCAATCGACCGTGGTTTCCGGCCCGCGAGCTGCGTACAGGAACAAAAGTCAGTATATGAGTTATGAATATACCCTTAAATAGATCAATAACCTCTTTCTGAAGTCGTAGCAGCCAATGGTTGAGTTTACTTACCATGAAGGAAGGAAGATAGACTTCCTCGAGGCATGTAATCAAAGACAAGAAGCTTCTCTCCTTTGGGGCCTATGTAGTAAGCTCTAAGAGCAAGTAGATTTGGGTGTCTAATTTTTCCTAGTGCCACAACTTCAGTTTCAAATTCCTTCTGCCCTTTTGTTGTTTTTTCCCTCAATCTTTTCACTGCAACTTCATTACCATCTTCTAATGTTGCTTTATATGCTGTTCCATATGTACTCTTTCCCATGATCTCCGCAGTCGCACACAGAAGATCATCAGCAGTGAAAACAAATGGCCCATCAAAATGAACTAGTTTTCCTCCGGCTTCGCCCGTCCCCACTTCGGTGCTGCCTGGTGCTTCCTTCTCGATGCTTCTCGCTGTCGCTTGCTTGCCAGCCGTTTTGTCATTCTTTCTAGCAGCAGCTCTTTTTGATAACAAACAACAGAGCAAAATTGAGCAGAGAAGAAGAAGAAGCACCAACAGAGCTCCAGCGGCTATCAGAATTATGTCCTTCACACTGAGTTTGCGGCGGCGATGCGGTTTCCGGACCTCAGATGATGGAGTTGTAATATTCTGTGGAGAGGATGCAGGTTGACATGGAGTTGAAGCACTAAAACCACACAGTTGAAGGTTCCCTACAAAAGAGCTCGCATTGAACTTATTTGATAGGAGAACCGGGACAGGGCCAGAGAGATTGTTGTAAGAGACGTTGAAAGAGGTCAGATTCAACAAACTGGTCAGCGATGTTGGTATCTGTCCCGTGAAGTTATTTTCAGAGAAATCAAGTTGGGTAATAGCAGAAATGTTCCCCAAACTTGCAGGAATCTCACCACTAAATCGATTCTTCCCAAGCTTGACCACTGAGAGATTCTGCAATCTATCAATATCTCCTGGAATCTGGCTTTCGAGGCGATTATTTTCAACATTCAATAATTCAAGAGAGGATAGATTAGAGAAACTTGAAGGGAAGCCACCATTAATGGCGTTGTTCGACAGATCCAAAAGGCGAAGTCTCTTCAGCTTGCCTATTCCACCCGGTATAGCCCCAGAGATCTTGTTTTCACTGATGGAAATCTCTTGAAGCCATTCCAGTTTACTCAAGGAAGCTGGAATTGCCCCAGATATTACATTATGATCAAGCGTTATAACAGCAAGTGGGCAAGTTCGACCACCCCAAGAATCTGGGACGGTCCCAGAAATATTATTGTGCTGAAGGGCGAGAATTGTAAGAGAAAACGACTGCGTAAAGCTACTTGGGATAGATCCCGACAATGAATTGTAACTCAGATTAACTCTAATCAATTTGGTAGAATTTGCTAGACCAGAAGGAATTTCTCCTGTGAGCAAATTGTTGCTCAAATCAAGAGTTTGAAGAAGGGGAAGATTACCAATTGTAGGAGGAATAGAACCTGAGAATCTGTTGTTGAAAAGATAAATTCCTCTGAGATTTGGAAGGAGGCCGAGCGACCGAGGGACTGTGCCGGAGATCACATTATCGTGGAGGCTGAGCTTTCTAAGTTCCCGGAGCTGCCCAATCCTGTCGGAAATCCGGCCGGCAAGAGCCTTCCATGGAAGCTGTATAGCAATGACCTGCCCCTTCACACACTTGATTCCTGCCCACTGCCCGGAACAAGCTCCAGTACTGCCATTCCAGCTACGCAAAGCTCCTTTAAGGTCGATGAGTTCGTGTTTTATAGCTTGAAGAGCTTGAAAATCTCCTTGTGTAACAGCCACTCCGTCCCACATCTGGCCAGTGACCGGTTGAAGGGAAAAAGCCAAAAGATGAGCAAAAAAGAGAGCAGTCAGGTATGAAGAACAGCTTCTCCATTGTTGGCCCTTCCACTTTCTGCTCTTATTAGGTGATTTAGAGCCCCAATCAGCTGTTATTGCTACGGGAAACTGCATGAACTGAAGTGGGTTTACCTGAAACTCACTCAGAGGGTTGTGGGTTTTTCCCATGAACAAAAAGAAACTTCAGTTTAAGAGGGAAAACAGAATGGCTTTTCGTATCTCTGGTTATTCTAGGGTTTCTGAAAGTTGGGACGATAAGTTTTATAGGGGAAGAAGATGAAGAAGAAAAATAAATTAGATTAGCAGAGAGAAAGGAGTTGGTCTGGGTCTGATGAAGCATGTGAGGACCTGAAATGTCGTTGTAATTTTGGGTGGACGAAGGATTTAGCGAAGGCATACGCTGGGGTCAGTCTCTTTATTCTTTTACGCTAACGGCTACATTTTTCTTCGGTTATTCAGGCTACGTGACATTTTTTTTTTCCTTTGCTTCTGTAACGCTTTGTCGCTCCTCCAACGGCTATATTTGATTCGGTCAGCATATTAGGTGGATAAATGTATAATGAGAGTTATAACGTACGTCCTGCCACTTGCGCTACATTATTTCTGATTTTTAATAATAATACATAAACTAATGATAAAATAATTGCCTTTTATCTTGAATTTCACATAGAATATTTAACCTTATACAGATTTTCAACTTTATAATACAACCCTACACGTAGTGTTTTAATATCTAATATAGTGAGGTCCAAGCATTGGAATTTCATCCCGTAATTTTAACAAATAACTAATCTTGAAAATAGGTTGGTTCTATTTGTTCGATCAAGTGCATATATTTAAGTGTTCAAGATGGTTCACACGTAATAAATTAGTTTTGTAAATGCACACAAAATTGACGTCTAAGACCTCATTTGATAAAACCCATTTATTCTTCAGATATGCGTTGCAAATGGGGGTTCTCAATCCCATAAATAGTGAATTGAATTCAGCCTTCATCAATTAAAACCCTTTAATTAATAAATCCATTAATTTAAATAAATTTTAATTTGAATCATTTTTCTAACCGTATCAATTTACACCAATTTCCAGTTTTATTTTTAAGTGAAAAGTAACTCCAAACCCACATCAAGACATTGGATCCAAATATTATATGATTTTCTCAAGAAATCTCAAGCAAATAGTTTATGAATGTCTGGCAGTGCGTTTAACTATCTGTTCAATGCACATGCTATGCACTGCACAACAAAAAAAGCAGTTTCTGGGATATACAGACACGTAGTCGCCGTCTCAATAAGAAATGAGAAATGACGGGCAAAGTAAGCAACCCCTATATATAGAAGAAACAGCTTTCAACATGAACGTTGTAAAGCTGAAGCATTCAACAATTTGTACCTAAGTTTAATTGGGTTGACTAGAAAATTATACGAGAACGGTAATCCAATTTGACCAATTCAATGCAAAAAGTAACAAGACTTTTGAAGTATATGTCTTCCATTGAGAGGTGTATATACGGTCAAGCGATTATAAACATAAATCCACCCTTGTGATATATCGTCATCCATACCTCACAAATTTACAAACCAAATTCGAAGCAAGATTTAAGCTTCTACAATCTATTTATTGTACAATCTATTTATTGTACAATCCAATCTCAAATTTATCCAATTATGAAGTTTGCGAATTGCGAACTCCACGACACCAAATCTAAACACCTCCTGATAGGACGTAGCAGCTAAATTGGGAGATGACCCACATTGCAGTGCATCATGAACAAACATACATTCCAGTTCAACAGAAGATTAAAGAAAAAAAAAGCTTGCATACAGAACACGGGGGATTTGGGTTCTATGCAAGAACCCCAGATCTACGTATCAAGCATTCATCACAGACCATTGGCGCGAAAGATGTGCGATAAATTCAAAACTTGTAGAATTGGACAAATAAAAGAATGAAATTCACACTGTGTTATAACAAAATTCGAACTGCAATATCCACGGTATAAGAAGAAGGGAAAAAATTGAATCCATAGACAGCCTAACGGAGTATTATATTCTATCTCAAGGTAAATGAACGGATCGTTAATATGAAATTTTGCACAAAAGAAAAAGAAAAAACCTGCATCTTATTTCGTCTACGCCAATTTTCAAGATTTAATGCATTTACTGATACCGAAGCGAAGGCGGTTCCATCCCCTGGTCTACTCGAATCACGTGCGAGCAGCCGCAGGCACGGCGGCAGCGGCAGCGCTGGAAGCCGCGCTGCTAAAGAACGAGAGAAATCCGGGGGTTACATTGTCTTGTTCGTCCAGGAAGAGATCTTCGGGAACTCTAAACGCGCCGTGGGCACAAACCAGAGCCACACCGACCAAAAGAGCCGAAACGAGGACCGATCCAACGCTGGTGAGGAACACGACGAACACGCTGAGCAAAACCAGGAGAATTAGGGTTTCACTGTCCTTGAATGTGCGGCCGAATACAACCAGCGGCTGATCCGACGGACGGAAGAGGTAGAGGAATATCCACGAGGATAAAAGCCCGAGCAGAAGAATAAGGGAAAACGGATGAGAAACGAGAGAAAAGCCAAGGATCAGAGCAACCACAGCGAGATAATTGACGCGAAAATAGGAGTAATTCTTGCGAATTCGCAAGGTCGCTTCGGATAATGATTCGGGCTTTGAAAATGCCGTCCGATCCGCAAGTTCGGCCCATGGTTTTCGCTGGGAGAGGCCGTGCCGGAGAGATTCCGATATGTGGTTAATGAAGACGCGGAAGGCCGGCGTAGTGACAGGGCCTTGAGATTGGAGAGAACCGCCGGATGTAGCGGAGAGGACGGCGGTGGATTGAGGATTGGAGATGGGAAGTATGGCCGGAGAGGAAGACATTGTCGCGTCGGTGGATCTTGAGGCAATGGAAAATGGGAATTTTTAACGAAGAATGCTTCTCCTGTAATTAAGTCAATGGGGGAAAAGGGGCGATGAGGAAACTGACGACGACGCAAGACCTCTCCTACCAATAAATAGTGGAGAAAAACGCGGCTGAGCGAATGTTTATTCCGTAAGGAAGACCCTTCTCTGTGATATCTCTCTGCTTCTCATCGTGATCGTCCATTCAACTTCATTTCATTGGTGGACGAACGGTAAAGATACAACATTTTGATCAACCCTACCATGGACCATTTATTAATAAGCTCAAACTTGATGGACCAAAATTAAACTTTAGATTATTCAATCGAACCTTTATATTATGCAAATATTGCAGTTTTACCCTCTCGTTACATTTTGTTACATTATATACTAAAATTTATATTTGTTTTTTCTTTAAAAAAAATTTATTGCTATTTATCAACTTCCAATTTTTTGGTAAGATGGTTTGTCTGCTTGGGCCTACGGGGTTGGACAAGCCGAAGCCCAATCAGACCCAAAGCTCACGAAGGCGGCCAGAAGATCTTCCCTGTCTCGGCCCACGGAGTTGAGCCGAAGCTCACAATGTGCTCTTGTTTGTATTCCATCCCTTGTAGACGAAATTGAACCGCATATAAATTTTGACGTCCGCCCTTCCAAGAAACTAAATAATAATAATAATAATAAATAACAATAATAAGAACCCCTAAAACTAGTTGTGCCTCACAGGCTCACTCTCCAGTCATTCTCCCGCCAAAACCATTTCTTAGTTCTGCGATTCCCTTCTTCCGTTGCTCACTTTTCATCGACCATATTGTCATATTAATCCAAAAAGATATCGTAGTCTCCTTTCTGTTTGCTTGCCCGCGGAACCAAGGAGACCACAACCAAATCTCTTCGCATCGTGCGTGAACTGAGAACCAAGCCAAGCTCGATTCCAGGTTGTTTTCCTTTTTGTCTTTACTTCCAATCGACGAACCTCGGCGGCGATCGAACTCTTAAGCGTTGAATCGTCGTGTCACAGCGTTAATGGCGGAGCGGGATTCAGAACTTGTTTCTGCTATTAACGAACTTGACGATCGGTCATTCCTCTCGCTTTGCTTTGGTCCTTCAGTGTCCATCAGGATTTGGCTTCTAAAAAACGCCGAGAGTTTCCAAATAAGGCCATCGCTGTTACTTACTGTTTTCCTAGGGTTTACGAAGGATCCGTATCCATATGTTAGAAAAGCTGCTCTCGATGGACTAGCAGGTTTGGGGATTACTGTTGTCGAAGACGGCAGTATGATTGAATGTTGCTATTTCCGTGCTATTGAACTTCTAAACGACGTGGAGGATTGTGTTCGGTCAGCTGCAGTACGCGTTGTAAGATAATCGTTTTGCGATATATCTCCATTGTTTCTCTTCTTTTACAACATAAAAAATTTGATTAAGCAATTTCGGTTCGGTAGTATGTCGCAGTTCTTTAAGATTCATAGTCCATGATTTGATGTCGCAGTTCCTTAAGATTCACAGTCCATGATTTGATGTCGCAGTTCCTTAAGATTCATAGTCCATGATTTGATGTCGCAGTTCCTTAAGATTCACAGTCCATGATTTGATGTCGCAGTTCCTTAAGATTCATAGTCCATGATTTGATGTCGCAGTTCCTTAAGATTCATAGTCCATGATTTGATGTCGCAGTTCCTTAAGATTCATAGTACATGATTTGATGTCGCAGTTACTCAAGATTCATAGTCCATGATTTGATGTTGCAGTTCCTTAAGATCCACAAGCCATGATTTGATGACGATTTCTAATTAATAGACCTAGTTTTTTAATTACTGCGATCAAGCTACTCGCATTGGTAGAATATCACGTTTTTTTATCAGTAAGAGCTTTTGACGATTGATCCAGGTCATCACTTGGGGTCTCATGCTTGCGGCTCATAGTCCAGAGAGGAAACAACATTTTTCTGATGAAATATTCGCTAACGTAAGTTTAAATTTAATATGTGTTGATTTCTCTGGAGTGGTGAAATTCATTCACTGAAAAACTTATCATCCTTTGTTTAGAGTGTCGTTCTTAACTAGAATTCGAGATATCATTCTCATCTAGATTCCGGATACTAGTATTGTGGTGTGCAGATTGAGCGAACCTATTTAGACCTAGTCCTGTGTTGCGTCTGGATAACATTTCTTCTGTTTGCTAGTGGTGGATTAATTTTGCCTTAGGTATTCAACTTCCTTGGTAGTATGCAACTTTAGATTTGCATTCCGTGTCCATCTTCTCAGCTCTCATGTTTAGTGTTTAAAACTTTCCACTTTGAATAGTGTTTGTATATGGACAGGTCACATTTCCTTAGGAGATCTTTAAGGAAGTGATCACTATTTTTCCATGCCAACTAAACTTTAGGAAGTGCTTTCCCTTGCGTCGAGTCTTAAAGTGAGTGCTTCGAATTTTGAACTTGTAGTTATAAAGTGCCTCTACTGATATACGTATATATTGGTAATATCAGCTTTGTTCTATGACAAGAGATATGAGCATGGAGGTCAGGTCTAATGCATTTGTTGCAATAAAAAGGTTGGAAATTGTTTCCGAGGATCTTCTTTTACAAAGCATGTCCAAGAGAGTCTTAAGTATCTTCAAGGGGAAAAAGTCTCTTGTTCAATGCTATACCGAACAATTAGAAATGTTGGCGTTGGATGTTGCTGGGGCTTTTGTTCATGGCGTAGAAGATGAATTTCATCAGGTAACTTACGCTGTTATATATGTTTGATTGAAATATACCCCTATGCACCAATATTATAGATTTTAAAGAAATGTTCTTATCTCCACTATCCTTGTAATCAATCGTCACTCCTCAACACGTTTTGCTATTTCAACTTTAATCTTGTAGTTTCTTCATGTTTATGCCACCAGGTCTTCAATGATAGTTGTTTCAGCTTGCTTGCTTAAACACCATATCAATGCCATAATGGTTGGGAGTATCCTCCTGTAAACTTTTATCTCATTAAATTTGAGCATACATGTTTTTTTTAAGTGGACAATCACTGCCTTTTTTCAAGAGAGGAAAATGACAGACAAGGAAATGAGTAGAAGCTTTATGTATTGAAGACCTGTCTTCTAAATTAGACAGTAGCTACGAAGGAACCATCTATGCTCTTCATCGTATAAGCATTTGTAGAAAAAAATGTGACTATGATATTGACACTTTCTCTTAATCTCAAGGTGCGGAAGTCTGCCTGCGATGCTTTGTTTAATTTGATCATCCTGTCAACTAAATTTTCTGGCGAGGCCTTGAGCTTACTAATGGACGTCCTGAATGATGATTCAGTTTCTGTCCGCTTGCAAGCTTTGGAAACATTACATCACATGGCAATTTCCAATTGTCTGCAATTGCAAGAAGCACATATGCACATGGTATAGATAATCCTTGTTCTATATTTTGGAGTCTTTCAATTACTCATCATAGGTGTTCATTGACAGCAGTTTAAGGTTACGATTATAATAACTTTTGTATCTGTAGTTTTTTCAATTAAAAGTTTGAACCGTACAAAATCATACTAAGCTTGTCACTGCACAAGTCATCAAATGAAAATTTATTTGTGTCAATATTTGAGATTGGATATTAAAGATCAATATCTATGTTTGGTTCATATAATTCTTATCAACATTGGTTTAATTGCAGTTTCTCAGTGCTTTAAGTGACAATAATGGCCACGTAAGATCTGCTTTAAGGAAACTTCTTAAATTAGCGAAGCTGCCAGATTTGGGGACATTTCAGTTGTCTTTTAATGGTCTTGTCGAAAGTTTAGAATCATATCCGCAGGTATGTCCTCCCTTGATCCTTCCCTTGTATTCTTTCTTCTTTTGTGCTGTTGTGTATAATTTCTATAGATTCGTTTACTTACTATTGCCGCTCCTTTCTGGAAATAGAATCTATATTGAACACAATTTCATTCTTATTGATGTGCTATTGTCACTTTGTTAATTGCTAGGATGAGTCTGATGTGCTCTCCGTGCTGTTTCATATGGGTCAGAATCATGTAAATATGGTTGCCTCCATTATCACGGATGTTTTTGAACAGGTTAGCTTGGTTCTTTATTTTCCGTATATGGTAATGTTGGACTCATCTAATTATCTAGTGAAATCATTTATATTCGAGGATTAGCTTCCAGCCATTATACCTTAATCCAGTTTTCAGTATTGCACGTGGGGCATATTTATATTTCAATATTTTATGTATATTAATAGAAACTAGAAAGCTAAATCGTGAAGGTCAATGGATGGTGTTGGTACTGTTAACTCTCTTGTTCTTGATCTTTGCTTCAGATAGACCCAGCGTCTGAAGGAAAACTTGGATTTGATAGCGTGAAGGTGATGGCATATATTGTTCTAGCTATTTCAGCTCCCGTTCTGGACACTCATTCTCTTAGGATTCCACCTAGAATATTTTCTTATGCAGCTACATTGCTTGGAAGGATCTCTCATGCTCTGGGCGACATTATGGATCAAAGCACTATTTTTGCTTACTTGCTGCAAAACAGTAAAAACACTGGATTATCTGATCTGGGGTTTAATCCAGAGGGAGTCCCATGCTCACTTACACCTGGAAGTTATGTCAATGATATACTTGCCATTGCCTCACCTAAGACGCCTGCAATGATACATGAGAAGCAGCACAAAGATGATGATGCCATAGAATCTATCAAAACTATCCTCTCAAAGGTGCAAGATATTTGGCCACTAATACAATCCGGATTTTTGCATGAAATTCTAAGGAATTTGAGGTTTGTAAATCAGTTCTTTGTTTAACTTCTTATGGGGTCATACATTAAATGAATTGTTCCTTATGGTAGTTCTATGAAGCTTTTATTAGATATCAGTGCAAGATCAGTTGCCTGTGCTAATAAAGTCAATATTCTTTTAATGAACAATACGATTACTCTGTAAATTTTGAGCTTTTAAATTTTGTTCTTATCTTAGTTTGGAAAGAAGCCTGGAGTGTTAGATATATCTTTTTGTGCTAGCTACATTCCTATGTCCTTTGGTTGAATTAGATACTGCCTTTAGTCCCCATACTCCCAGTGTATCCAGCACTTTTTTGGGGTGGCTTTTTTTTAGTTAACTGTAGGAATGTTTGTTTTTGCATGGTCGGTACGGGTTTTTTTACATCTTCCATCATATCAATTAAAACTATTTTCTGTTTCCATGTTTTGACATGAAATTGAGTCTTGCTTTTATTCTAATCATCATTACAAAACAATAGCTTTGGTTTTTTCTCATCTGTTCTCATCCTTGGCCTTTGCAGACAAGTAAATTCAATCTTTGGTCTAAGTTCCTCATTTTCTTGGAGTTGCAGGGTTTTCAAGGAAGCATTGGAAGTATTCACGTATCAAATAGACAAATACAGTGGGGCTTTAGCTTTTACATTGCAGTATCTCAAGATAATGAAACTGGTTGCGAAGGTATGGAATTTGATGTCTTCAAAACATAGTTGTAGAATTGGAGAATGGGAATCTCTATTAGGAAAGCTAGAAAAGGGGCTGAAAGGGTTGAGAAGTAGGTTCATTGGATTCTCTAAAGAAGAAGAACGTCATATCTTAGAATTGATGTTGGTAACTAGTGCACTCAGGTTGGCTAATGGAGAAATTTGCTGTCATCTCACAATTATGAGAAAATTGTCGATGATAGCTTCCAACATAGAGCATCTCCTTAAAGAAGAATGTATTGAGCCATCAACTTTTGTATGTGAAGTTCAAAGATCATTGTCAAAGTTAGGCGCCATTACCCCTAAAGCTTCTTGCTATTCACTTGATTTTAGAAAACTGCTGAAAACTTTCACCCTCAACCATCTAGAAATTTCAAAAAAACTTAAGCACGTCAAGGCAGAGCTAGTCATTCCAGATAATGACTATGAAAAACCCCTCTATTTTGTTCCAGGACTACCCGTTGGTATTCTGTGCCAAATTATCCTACACAATGTTTCAAGTGAGAGGAAGCTATGGTTTAGAATCACAATGGATAACACGACAAGTCAGTTTATCTTCTTGGATTTCCTTCCCTTAGGAGGAGGTTGTGATGAGGTTAGGGAATTTACCTATACCGTTCCATTCTACAGAACTCCAAAAGCTTCTTCTTTTATAGCTAGGATTTGTATAGGACTTGAATGTTGGTTTGAGAGTGATGAAGTTAATGAACGCCGTGGAGGTCCAAAACGTGATCTAGCATACATTTGCAAAGAAAAGGAAGTTTATCTTTCCATGATCCACAATAGTTGATTTAGTGCAGAGTTCATTTAAAATATCAGTCTCTGTAAATATTGAGGGAATATGTGAGAATGCTACGGAATATGTTTTTTTAGTATAAAAGTAACTATTTTGATCTTCATGCAGAAACTGTTGTGAAGATCTGATCAAAATGAGCCATACCAACTCTAGCCTATTTATGGTTCAAATGCTTACTGATCCTGCAGATATTTTGGATACCAAAAGATCTGGGGATTGGTCTTTCTTAGTAAAGCAAGAAAAAAAACATTGATCATTCGTTGAAGGTATTTTCATTTCCATCTTGAAAGCCTCTATATTCTCCCAGCGTCCCTGAAATAAACCTGCGGATGTTAACATCACTGGGTTTCTTTGAAAGAGACGCTTTGTTTCTGACGGCTTGCTACCCATGCCGTTTGTTAACTTGTATTCATTAACCTGGAAGTGTTATGAACTTAAATGGTGCCGTACGAGTGAATAACTGATGCAGGAATTGGATCCCAGGTATGTGGACAAATACTCATCCCTGAACTCAATAAAGAAAGATACATGGAAAGTTATTTATTTTAACTAGAACAATGGCCAAATTTTATGGGTTTACATACTGTTTTAATGCTGTCTTGAAAACATGAGCCTCCACTTAAGATGTAAAAACAAAACTAAATTCTTTTGAACCATTAAAAGAAGACTTAGTATACTGATACATTTATGATATAACCAACTACAACTTTTTGATGTTTTCGTTTACTTACAATTACATGTAATTTAATATTTCAAATACAAATTAAAGGTGCTGAAATTAGTTACTATTACGAATCTTAAATCAAACTGATAGTTCTGTTTTTTTAAAAATGGATAATGCTTGTAGCAACTTTTTAAACAAAAGCAAATTATAGCAAAAGACATCAGTGTAGTTTCTCAGATGACTTCAGATTAAGATGTTCTTTTTGTAAAAATAAAATTTTATTTAATAAAAAGCACTTTTAAACAAAATTAAAATGATGTTTTTTTTAAGTAACTCAGAAATTTTAAAAAATGAGCAAAATCTAAAAAATATGGAGTAAAACAGTTAATTATATAATCACTATAGAATATAATGCAACAAAAAAATTATATTTTACTAAAATAGTTCAATTACAAATTTAGTAATTGAATTTTGAGGTTGTTTTGAATCTTATAGAATTAAATTTAGTCTCCTAACAATTCAAAAGTTTAAAATTTTGATTTTTTTTCATTCACTTGAAAGTAAAATTTTTTATTGATACTATTTAAATTTCACAAAATCAAAGTTCAAACAAAACTTAATAGTTTAAGAAATATTTTCTAAATGGGGTGATTTAAAAACTTTTACTGAAAATATTTTTTAAAAAAGGGCCTCTAATGTCAGGAGTAAAAAGGGGAATTTTTTGTGAAAAAAAAATATCATTAGGTGAAATTATAAGTTTATAACCCTCCTTTTGAATCAACTAGGCTTGTTTTTACTTTTGTGTTTTCAATAGATTTGAGATTTTGACTACCGATGTTGAAAAGTCGGGAGTTTATGCCTCTTTGCTATTCAAAAGGAAACCATTGCAGCTATGGATATTACCAACATACCAACTACGTGCAGGTGGAGCCTCTTCTCACGCTCAGTGAACGATAGCCGATTGGAAACATCTTTTCCTTAGAACCCTGGACGTCTTTTCCTGCCAGCCGCACCCTTCTTTATAACTCTCAACCTATCATTTGAAAATCCGGGGGAGTTACGAAGTTAAGTGTGCTTTACAAAATTGATAGCAAAATTGACAAATTTAAAAAGACAACCTCATGGTACGCAAGCAATGTACTTTGAAGTATTACTGATGAATTAAAGAAAAAAAAGAAAAAACTGACCGTTTTCTAAATTATTAAATGAAGGGATATGGTAGATCATCGTCTTACCGTGTTCAAAATTTTGTCATCAACTAACACACCTCCAATTATGTATATGGATTCATTGATGACTCCAGCTGCCGCATATCCTCGCGTCTTATTCATGGGTTCCCCATCGATCCACGATTCCATACGTGGATCATATACTTCAACGCTCGAAACCATGGAATCTCCATCAAATCCCCCAAGAGCATAACTGCGAATTATAGAACATTAAATACAAGCCTGGTCATTTCTCCACATGGATGTGAAAACTTATAAACTATTGCTTGTTAAGCGTATATTCCCAATTGATAAAGTGCATTCACGTAACACAATCTGACTCATTATAACCCGTAAGGGCATCCATAACAAAGAAATGGCTTACAGTTTCTCGTTCAAAGTCACCAATGAATGACATCCTCGCTTTGCATTCATACTAGGGATTTGAGTCCATGAATGTTCTCTGATGTCAAACCTTTCAGCAGACCTGAAAAGGCAGAAATTGGGAAAGACCATGAAAGCTGTTTCTGTATCTTTCAAGCCAACTCAATTTGGCATGCTGGAGGCAACAATTGAGATAGTTCTATTAACTCCTCTATGAAGAAGAAAAGAAAAGAAATAGAAGTCATGGTATCTTACCTCATATAGTCATTACCATCAAACCCCCCTGTTGCATAAAGTACACCATTGAGCTCCACTGCAGCAACAGCAAATCGCTGTAGAAAATAATCGAGCGATTAAAAGAAAATGTCAACAAATAAAATGCAGCTGTAAGAGATGTAATCAATGGCAAGCATTTGAACTATGGTTAAGAAATCAAGCATGAAAAATTGGCCAAAGAGCATCCTTTACACTCGGTAGCACTGACCTCACATGGATTTATATCCAAGGTGAAGTCAAGCATACCAATACCTGACACCATTAAACCGAAAGAAAACTTGAAGGAAATTTGTTCGTCATACTTTACAAATTTAACCGAATGAAACGAGTTATCATAGAGGTGGATCAACCTAAAATTAAACACGACAAACATGCCAAAATCACCAATTACCCTTTGTAGCATTGACCTTGTACAAATCCATCGTCCAAGTTCCATGTCAAGCATTTCAACACCAGAGAACGACTCAATACCATTTCCACCACCAATAGCAAATAATTTGTTACCAATGCTAACTCCTCCGAGGCTTCCTTTTGCCAGATTTAAAGAAGGGCACAAGGTCCACTGATCGGTCTCCAGGTTATATGATTCAACTTCAACAACAAAGAAAGGAAATGACAGAAATTATTGTATTACACAAATAAAGACATCCGAGAAAATTAGTAGAAGTTGATACCTGTGTTATACCATGCACAACCATTACCACCACCAAAAACATAAAGCTGACTATTCAACCATGCAACAGAAGCATATGCACGTACAGAGCTCATCGGCCGAAGTGATTTAATCATATCGCTAGAAGGGTCGTACAATTCCAAAGTTGACAAGTGTGATGCACCATCATATCCTCCAATAAGAAAAATGGATTCATCAGGGTCCAAACACAAGTCTTCCAATTGTTCCTCCACCACTACCCTCTTTGCTTCTACTGCATTTGAGTTTGGCAAATAATTAGACGTTATACGACCCTTCAACTCCTGGATTTCACCTTCTGCCGCCAACTGCCATGAAAAGTTGAAAATTTTCCCATAAATCTTATCACATAAGATAATAAGAGTTGTTGTCTGCCCTTAAGCCATTTTCATCTTTGGTAGGAGGGACATAAACAACAGGCATTTGAGATGAAGAGAATCAACTAGTTAAAAGATAGATTACTTAAAACACAAGCAGTACCAATATCGTTCAACCCTCATCCTCAAAAAATGCATGCATCGTCTTCCAAACCTTCAGCAAAACAGCTTAATCAGTAAGCTTTTTTCAAAATGTTTGTTTATTTGACGCTTTAGTGTTTGTTAACGTATCTGAAATATTTTCAAATATCAAATTACAAAATCACAAGTGCAAACTCTCGGCTTAAAAAAGTTGCATAGACTCGTACAGAAATTTTCAACATTGTTATTATATGTGTGCGGGCGTGCATATATTTCACCTCCTACATTAAGGGATTCTTTAGAATCGACCTTACGTTATGTAGAAACCCACAATTCTTTTATGGTCCAGAAGAGAATATGAGGAATCGAGACAACTCATTAAAATTTTAAAACAGCGCCATTACAACCGCATAATTTACTACTCTAAAGATATTCACAATGTCCTGATTATCCCAACTACATTTTGATTAAAAAAACATGAACACATTGGATTCTTGAATATGACCAAATGCCAGATATGCAAAAGGAAGGAAGATAAGTATATAGTAGTGGACTTTTTAAAGTAAAGAATGAAAAGTACCAGCTTTTCCTCCAAGAAAACTATTCTCCTAGCTTGTTCTGCATTAGAATCCTTAAGCTCTTGTAGCTCTTGAACCAACTACAAAATATTAAAACCCATATTAAACGCCACGATCCAGAAAGATATTCACATAAAAATATATACCATATATGGAATGCTATAACTACCTTCGCAATTGGAGACTGAAGTCCAGTCAAAGTACCAAAGTCCTCTTCATTGCTCTCTTTGGACTTTATTGGTTCACCGGAACTACCATTATTCACCAAATTATTGCCCTTATTAATGGTAGTATGATTCATATCACTTGTTAAAGGCAACATTGAACTTTCATGATGCTTTATAGCAAATTGTTGTAGTTTATGCAATATTCGGCACTTCAACTCTTCATCGGATTCATTTGCATAACAATGAGCTCCAAGTGAACTATTCCCTGCATCTAATGAGGAAGTAACATCTACAGCGTCCACTACTTGACTTTCCAGGTCAAAGTGCTCCTCCATAATTTGTGATTTGATCTTTTCACCTTCATCCCTTGATTCCAAGGAGGGGAGGACTGTACAGCAAGGTCTGCAGTTCGTTGTAAATTGTGGTACATGTGGAGTCATTGCTTGAGATGATAATAAAGAAATCAACTTATTTGTCTGAGCATGGTCAAGCTCAAACCAGAAATGATTGGGGCTATAATAGTTGTCCTTAATTATAGGCTTGAACTGATTTTCTAACAAAGGTTGGCACAGCTTCCGAACAAGAATTTGAACCTAATAAAACTAGAAACCATAAGAAAAGAGCATTTTCTTGGTGATAACCATTGTCTATCTTCACAGTCATGCCAATTAGGAGAAACAGAACGAGAACGGAAAGTTTTTGGTAAAACCTGAGCTGGATAAAGTGTTCTCTCTGAACCATCAGTAGTCCACCCATATGGATTAATATTTATCTGTCCTGAACTAGCCGCCTCAAAGATACCATTCAACTTTCTCTCGCTATAGTTGAATAGAAACAAAGGCAAACCAGGATCAATGTTCTTCACATATGAAAAGTGTTGAGAAGGCAAGCCTGTATAGATGGAAAATAAAGATGTTAGTGATCAGAGCGCAGAAAATTGAAACAAGACAAGAGGATAATCTAGAGTGAAGAGTGAAGAAAATTGTAAGAAGAACAAAGTAATTGATATCGTCATGTGATTTCCAACAATAAATCACATTCTTTGAACTACAAAATGCTAACGCGTAAATATAAGACTAGTAAGATAAGTAAAGAAAATGTAAAGAGGAGAAAAAATAAGCAAAAGATATAGATTGAGTTGTGGATACGAACCAAAAAGCTGGTTAGAAAGACATTCCTTTATGGTGCTGTTCGTGCATCCAAATATTACGCTTCCAAGGTGACACTTGCTCAAATTTCTGTACACTTCATCAGCATCCAATCGAGCAGAAGATCCAGCTTTGAACTTTAGAGCTCTCTGTCCTGTATTCATTCTTTCATATGGAGAAGTGAAGAAAAAAAAATCTAGTGAAAATCATAGACTGAAGAAATATACTGCTTGTAACCAAAGACACGTGTCATCCTGCACAACAAATCAGCCAATAGAAATTGCATTCATAGTCAATTTTAACAATCTCCAAATTTCTGCTTTGACAACATACATATATTTTTTTTATTTTAAAAGAAAGTAAGCTCTACAAAACTACATTCAGTCCACGTAATTTATATATTACTTACTTTTCGCTCAACAAAGAAAAACATAAAATTATTTGAGGGAAGCAAAAGGCATAAAAGAAAACATTAGCAAAAGTATGAACACTCAAAAAGTAATAATGGATAATGACAAATTGACCATTTGTGTGGTGATTCATATTTGGTCAGAGTTGATTCCTAATTGGTTAAAATCTTGAAGGCTTGAGTTCACCGAAAGATAGGGATCAATTATCTAAATAGAAACAATAAGATACTGTCAAAATGATCAGGTGAAGAAGAAGGTAAAATAGAACACTCAAAAGCTTAAGAATCATTGACGTGCAAAACAAAAGGAACAACTGAAGATACATCAAGCAAAAGTTACTATTATAAAATTAAGTCAAAATGCATAAGGATCTTCCCAGACTCCCAAATATTTGACCAAAAAAAAAAAAAAAAATGAAGCTACATCAACCACAACTTACGTTCTAAACCTGGACAAAAGAAACTTTTAGTAACCAAAAAATTGTGTGAACAACGACACCTAAAAAACATAGTGAGAAATTAGCGCATCTTCAAACCGTGACAGTATGACCTTACTCAAGAGGTCTTCGACATGATTCCAAAATGAAAAGCATATAAAAATATCTAGCACAGTAGAGGAAAGAGCATGATAGCTTTCGAGAAATTAGCGTTTATTCAAACACAACGTATTTAAGAACATGATCCTATAGTGAAATGCAAAGTACAGTTCGTTTCAGAAGAAATATTTAAACAACGAGATTATCTAACTAATATGAACAGGTTCCTCTTGTACATCCGAAAGCACATTTCAAAAATACGTTATACTTCGTCAATGATTCTAATAATCTTATAGCAACGAATCTGCTAGCATTACTCGGATAGCCAGACTTTGGAACAAGTAACATAACAAGAGTACGCGCACTTCGATTCGATCATCACTAGATTTCTACAATGTTAACTTCTAAGAGAAAAAAAAACCAGAAATCCATTGCCTCTACAGCGATAAAACGAGAATAGCGTCAAATCTTTTTCAATCCAAAACTGCCAAATCATATGAGATTCTGTCTATATGAACACTTACCTTTCACCGCAGGCGACCGATTCAAATGAAGAACTCGCCGTTTGAACAAACTAAGCTTTCACGGAAATGGATTCAGATAGAGGTCTCAATATCTGGTAACTCTTCCTTCACGAGATCTAAAATGAAAATCCTCGCATCATGATAATGAAGTTCCCTGTTAACTCTTTCGCTAACTCTCTCACAGTCGCGAAAGAGAGAGAGACGAACAGAGCGGGACTGTGCTTTACGGCGTGAAATCTCAAAACAGAGCGCGAAATGAGGCTTTCGCGTTTCTCAACAACGATCCTGACGAGTCTCGGTGTAGTAGTGAAGAAACGTGGAGGCTACGATCAAGTGTTTCATGCTTATAGTATGGATCAACAATCTTTGCCACGTGTCGCGTGTATTTGGCATCAATGGCACAACTTGCGTAATCCAACCGTCCAGATCAAAAATTTTGCAGCAAATAAATTTTGTGGGTTGAAGAAAAAAAGAGTTCGGAGTAATTAAAAATGGAATTATAGAGTACTCTTTGTTGGATGATGAAAGTCCCACATCGGTTAATTTAGGGAATGGTCATGAGTTTATAATCTAAGAATACACTCTCCATTGGAATGAAGCCTTTTGGGGAAGCTCAAAGCAAAGCCATGAGAGCTTATGCTCAAAGTGGACAATATCATACCATTGTGGAGAGTCGTGTTCGTCTAACACTCTTTGTCTTTCGATTATTAGTGCCCACATTCCATAAAATCCAAAACTCTTACGCAACAGATATTTATAGGGAAGAGCACGCAGCTCTCATGAATTATTGAGGGAATTAAAGTTCTCTTTTTTTTCTCTCTCTCTCTTTTTGAGTACAGCAGGTCTAAAAATAAAATAAAAGCTTGGGACTAAAATTGTAGTTTTAAAATCAAATAGACATATATTTCAAAATTCAGACATCTGTAATTTAATAAATAGTTTATTATAGAGTATATGGTGTGATAAAATAGTAATGATACAAAATTCTAAAAGTAATCCTTTCAAAATATTTAATTTAGTAAAACTGAAAAAGTAAAACAGATAATTAAAACACAATTTTCGAATTGATGCTATCAAATATGGTTTTTGTTTATGTTTAGTCCTTTGAAGACGGTCATAGGAAAATGTCATTTAAAGGCTACCCTATGCTTATGATATTAAAAATAAATGTGAGAATCAAGGTAAAGCTAAAACAAAATATCTTAAGGAAAAAGACGTAGACCACAAGTAATATTAAAAATCAAGGTGAAGTTATTGTGATTACGAATTGGAGTGGACTCATTAGAGGTGATATTAAGAATTAAGGTGGAGTTATTGTCATTAACCCAATAAAATTTTAATAAAATATATAGATCAAAATAATTTGAACGAATAAACATATTGACCAAAATAATTTGATAAATTTTGATAGATGATATAAAATATATAAACTAAGATGGGTGGAATGTTTAATATAAATGAGATTTTATTTACTTTTTTTATGAAAATTGAACAGAACAATAATGAACGATAAAGGACAAAGCTGAAGTGATAAATTGATTTATTTTAATTGTCGATTGCAAAAAATTAAATATTTAATTAAATAATTAATGCTTCTAATTAAACCTAGTTTTCTTATGTCCGGCCGGCCCAAAGCCACGAATTATTCGTAGTTTTTCCGCAACAGCTCTATGTTGAACAACAACTTCACTATTAAACGACCGCGTTCCAGTAGATCCCGTCTTCACAGGCCCCCGCGCCCGCGCCGTCTATTCTTCTTTTGCCAGTATATCCTTCTTAATTTTCAAAATCTTCCAGACGCTCAAGCTTTTTTTCTGTAAACGAGCAAGAGGACAAAGATTTTCGTATCAGCAAGAAGGAAGGTAAGAAAAAACGATTCCGTTGTCAAATTATTACATGGACCCCTTCAAAGACGAGTTAATTTTTCTTAATTTGTTCTTCGTTTTGATAAAATCGATTGCAGTTCTGTAAGTTTAACAAAATAGCGTTTGCGGCGCCTCAGAATCTCGCGAAATCCGAAGGTCAAGGTTTCGGTTTAAGTAATCGAAGCCGTTGAAGTTGAGATAGATGGAGATTAGCGGAGGAACAGAGGGCTTGAGTCGCGTTCCTTTATCAGAAGTTGTTTCTGATTGCGCCAAAAGATGGTTTAAGGACACTTTGAAGGAGGCCAAAGCCGGCGACATCAACATGCAGGTCTTGGTGGGACAAATGTATTATAGCGGTTATGGGATTCCTAGAGATGCTCAGAAGGTCAATTCCTTCCCTTTCAATTTGTAAATTCCTATCGTTTAACTCCTCCAAGTTTTTGACAAAATCAAGAACTCCAGAATATTGCCTAATCTACTCAACTTTTGGAAAATCTTGAGCTTATATAGATTTATGTGGGTATTATTGGTCAACAGCGTGTATCGTAAATATTGTAAATTCTGTTATGTTTTGGCTAAAAATGGTTCTCAGTTTTCTCCAATGGTCTGGTTCTCTATAATTTCGTGAGTTGTTGCAACTTTGAGGAGATTGGAACATTTCTTAATGTCGTATGATTATTAATTGTTCAAAATTTGTTTTTGTTTACTGAAATCCTATTGACTTAAATGGAATTTGTTTGCATGGGTTCAAATACCATTGATTTTAGGGAAGAATTTGGATGACAAAAGCATCAAGAAGTCGATCGTCTGTCTGGAAAGTTAGTGATAAACATCCAGGTTGACTGCCATTTTGATTATATCTTTTCCTAATCTTATCAGTCGTCTATAAATATCTCTTGCTAATTTCTTAAGCCAAACATTGATTGAAATAGGTTATAATGCTAGTGATTCCGATTCGGATGAACTGACTCGTGATTCTTAACTACACCAATGTTGCTGATTCCTCTATGTTATGTCAAAACAGCTGCTGGTATCTCCTCGACAACCTGTCTTTTGGCAATTTAATTTGTTATTCTATGGCTCTTATGTGTGACATCAATTATTTTTCTTACATATGTGAAAACGAAGTAGTAAAAGAGAGAGTCGGGAGAATATGACATTTTTGCTTGTTAAAACAAGTGCCTTCAGGATTAGGCTTTAAACGAAGTCTTTTAACTCCCCTGCATCTGTTTCCATTATATTTTAACACGTCAAAAAGATCTCCCTCTGCCCTTGTGGCTGCCGATTGAATATTAATTTTTAGTTTTTGTCTTCTACATCCAGCTATTGTTCCAGCCTCCTTGGATGATTTAGGGGATATCTAAATGATTTTGAATATTAAGTTTGTTGAAGTTAATAGTTTTAGGTCATAAATGCTGACGACAAGAAGGCATCCCTTGGGTGTTCGTGTTTGTGTTATGCAAGTTTTGCTGAAGATCCTAAAGAATGGTTCTTTCTTGTTCTTTTGTCTCTGCTTTAGTTCCTCTTACATGTCGCTTCTCATGGGAAATGATTGAAGCTCACACAACTTTTTGTCCTTCTTACTATAATCATCAATCTTTATTTTTTCAGTATCTTTGGTTTCTGTTTAGTTAAATCCTTATTTGTCACGGGATGAGATTCAATTATCTTCTAGACCTATATCATACTTAAAATCTAGTTGCGGGTCGACGGCTGGCAGGATCATTGTTTTGTCCTCTAAATGCACTTACATGTCTTCATACCAACCAAGCTGTTGTTTCTGAGACAACTTAGTTGTATGATGAAAGCATTGCTATGATTTAAAACATCTTCCCAACCATTCAGTTGGGGAGATGTTTTTCACGTCAAAGATTAGATGGTCATTTTCCCGTCATATTCTTGTGCTATGGTTGATTCCATTGCCAATGGCGATATAATATTGGGATTTCAATTTTATGGAAAGATCATAGATATATGAATAAATATCAATGTTGATGGATATTTCTGTTGATCAAAAGATTTGTAAAAATTATTTAAATTAATAATTACGATGTTCCTTACTTTCAGGTTTAGTTATATATTGTGTTAGTAGTATTTATAAAAGATATTAGAGATAACGATTAGTAAGTAATATCGATGTCGAACACTCCTATTCACAAATATATTGATTCAGTTTGATCTCTTGATTTTGTTGTAGTATGTGCTTTTCACCGTGGAGACTCAACTACTTGCTCAGCCATGTGTGTAGCTGCGAAGAACTTGTGTACTTGCTTCCTGATTGTTGGATTTGACGGATGTAATATGCTTTGATTTCTACAAACAATCTTATATCCATTTTTTCATTTTCTGTTTAGGTTACTTGCCACTTTTCATTGTCTGCGGGAGATTTTCATTTGATTTTTGCATAAATGTCAAAATTTGAACTTTTTAGCTGCTCTTTCAAATTCCCTGTCAAGAACACTAAGCCTTTCCAAGCATGCTTCTACTTGCTTTCCCTTTCTTAGTTGCTAGCTGTAACACCTTTCTTTTGTTCATATTGTTTTTTTTTTCTAGGCAGAGTGAAAAAATCGGTATAGTAACTATTTTTTGATTCCTGTTTCTTTGTTGGATGTGTATGTCAAATGTGAAAGCATTGACCAAATCTCATCTTTAATGTCCTGTCAGAGAAAGATATTGTTTCTTGGAATACCATGATTCAGGGCTCTGCGGTTCAATGGATTTTGCCCAAACAAGCGTTAGATCCTTTCTTTCAAATGAAATCATAGAATTTGAAGCCTGATTGCTATGCGACGGTTTGGTGCGTTGTCTGCTTGTGCAAGATTAGGAGCTTTAGCTTTAGCTTTAGCTTTAGGCATGTGGTCCAGCAGCCTAATGGATAGACGTGAGTTCTTGCAGAGTCTCGTTTTCTAAACAGTTTTAATTGACATGTACTCCAAACGGGGAAATGTAGCTCGAGCACAGAGAAGCAATGGAAAGGAATGACTGTGTAGTCTGAAACGCCATGATAGTTGGTGATTAATGGAATTGTTAACGGACTTCTAGAAGTCCGAGACAGTTCAAACTTATTGTCGGAGAAAATATATGCAAAACTTGATGAATTTGGTAGAGAACTGAAAGCAGCTGGTCATGTGCCAACCAACTGCAGAGGTTGTTCTTTTTGTCATTGCAGACAAGGGGAAAAGGAACATTTCCTTCGTTACCAAATTGAGAAGCTAGCTGTGGCTTTTTGTTTGATAAAGACTGAATTAATCCATACGCAATTTTGTAGAGTATGAACAAGTGACCTTGATTCAATTTTTACCAATATCGAACCAATCCAAAATATATGTACAAGGAACGAACTTATTCATTAAAAAGTCAACTAATTGTGAAGTTATCTTGAATTTAAAATTATTTGAAATCTAACTTTTCTTTTTTTTAGAAACTTTATAAGATGGGTAATTACAAAAAGAGAACTAATTATTCAAGTCAATTGAATAATATATGGAAAAATAGTGTTGGAATATAAAATATAATGATAATAAAGGACATTCCATGATCCAAAGTCAAAAACCTATGAATTGCTCTTCCGACCCCAAAGGCCATGGGGTTGAAAGGAAGGGCTTACCAACAACCATGACGGCTTCTTTTAAGTCCTACCGTACACAACAGCAAATGAGGTCAATTAAGTATTAATTAATCAAATTCAAAAAATAAAATATTAAATAAATTAGAATAATACATTAAATAAGTGTAGGCGTTATCCGTACTAATTCCTTTGTGGCCATATGATTAAGCGGGTACATGTTACAGCTGACCGTTGACTTTCTATATTCAATAACAACAAAATAACCAGCGCAATCATCGGTGGCTTCTTCATTACTGCATCACTTGGAAACCATCCAAATAGAATACGATTGAAGAATATCTTTTTCCTTAAACAAATAAAAAAAAATAATAATAAGAAACTGAAAAATATCTTTTAGCATTGCATTACCTAATTAATAATTGACATTTAAGACATGAAAAAAAGTTACAAATTTCAAAAAATAGAGAATTATATTAAAAGGTCGAGTTCATAGATTAGTATGATAATAAATTATTTATTCTAATAATCGCACTCTTTTTTTTCAGGATTTAAAAAAAAAAAAAAGAAGAATAAATTGAAAGGCAAAAGGGAAAAGAATCTTTAAAGAGAGCGATTGGGAAATTGCAGCCTGCAGGTGCAGTTAGTGCCTCCACCAAGTCGGGCGTTGGAATAAAATCTACAAATCCCCAAATATTTCGAAATCTCTTAGCGTAAGAACGGAACCCGACGATATGCATTGAAGCATGTTGGGCCCACTCACAAGAGCCTCATAATTTCCGGAAACTATAGTAATTATTGCAAAATTAATTATAATTAAATTAAACTTGTTAATTATTCTTCAGGGTTTAATTAATCCAAGAGTATCATTTGAAAATATTTTAGATCCAGTTTGTGAAGAGAGAATAATATTTGTAGTTGTAGAGAGCGAATGATGAGAGGAGAGAATAAACGAAATGCTATTGCGAGGCAAGGAAGGCAAGTGGGGGGAGTGGGCCCCAAATCCTAACCCACTTTTGACGCTCTCTCTCACCGTTCTTATCTGAGTAAGGTCGGTACTATGGCTGCCCAAAGTATAAGTACGGCAATATCCTTTCCCTTTCATTTTGACTCATCCATTTTCCTTTTTTATTTTTATTTTTTTTTATTAGGTATGCCGTTTCTTTGATCGTACAGGTTGTATGCACTTTGAAGTTTGAATCCCTCCTTCCTCACATACTCCTCCACCGGATGACTCATGAAAGTGACGTTTCGTTCACCAAATTACAATTCTAACCCCGTTTATTTTTTCATTCCCGCTCTCCCCTCTCATTTTTCTCTGGTACGGACCTCCTCGGCTTCATGAGTTACCAGCATACCCCCTATTATTTATTCTGCTGATTTTTTTTTTTTTTTTTAATTATTCAAAGACATCGAGAGGTGGAATTTAAAAGAAAAACTATAATTTTGTTTTGACAGTAATTTATATAAAAGAATGGAAGTAATATTAATAATCATATAGAAATAAAACTCGCGTATCATCGACGTTGTGAGGGTAGTGACGTAATTAGACATCTTTCTCTCTCTTTCTCTCCCTTGAGCCCATCCCATAACCTTGAAGGCAGTATTTTCCGTTAACAGTTATCGCTCCGTCTGAGGAAGTAGTTGGCTTGTTCTTCCCGGTTCCTAATATTCCGATATAGAAACCAACTGCTCAGATTCAACCTGTTTTTCGTCACAGCTCTCAGACTTCTTGCCTCCTTTTCTCTTCTCCATTATTGTTTTATATGCGTTTTTTTTTTCAAGAGTTCAACACAAAATTCCAGGGAAGAATTTCCTTCTTCAAGCATGAAGAGGCAGAGATTCACTGAACCCACAAACCCTTTTGATCTGGTTTCCGATGAAATCATCTTCACCATCCTCGACTTACTGAGCTCTAACCCAATTGATCTCAAGTCCTTCTCCTTAGCCTGCAAGTCATTCTACTCTGTTGAAGCAAAGCACCGCAAACTCCTCAAACCTCTTCGTTCTGAGCATCTTCCTACTGTGCTTAAACGATACACGCAATTGGCTCACCTAGATTTTTCCCTTTCTCCTCGAGTCACTGATGCCTCCTTGGCCATCATTTCTAAGGCCTGCAATTCCAAGCTTCGTTCTATCGACCTTTCGAGGTCTAAATTCTTTTCGGCTACAGGGTTGTTGAGTCTGGCTACGAATTGTACAAATTTGGTGGAGATCGACTTATCTAACGCTACGGAGCTCAGAGATGCGGCGGCTGTGGCTTTAGCAAAGGCAAAAAATCTCGAGAAGCTGTGGTTGGGGAGGTGTAAATTGATAACGGATATGGGGATTGGGTGTATTGCAGTTGGATGCACGAAACTGAGATTCATCAGCTTAAAGTGGTGTATGAGTATTGGAGATTTGGGGGTCGGTTTGATCGCTGTTAAATGTGAACAAATTCGTAGTTTGGATCTCTCCTATATGCAGGTAATCTGCTTTGTCTTGGCATTGAATGGGTTTTTCTTTCATGATTTTGCTGATGGAGTGAGACAATATATACATTTTTCAGTCTGATTTCCATTCCTGAATTGGCCAAGTGTTGATTGTTATTGAACTCCTGGTTTAACTTTTGGGGTAGATGTATTAACATTGGTGCACCATTGTTTTTGGCCCTTTCAGATCACGGAAAAATGTTTACCATCCATATTAAAGCTCAAGCATCTTGAAGATTTGGTATTAGAGGGATGCTTTGGCATAGACGATGACTGCCTTGCTGTTATTAGACATGGATGCAAGTCCTTAAGGGTAAGTTTTGATGAACTTAGATAGCTACTTCACTTGGTTATATTTTCTATTGCTACATAATCCTTGGCCTTGTTTGAGTCATAGTAGGACTCTGGCTTAGCAATTCAAAGGGGTTTTTTTTTTGTTTTTTTTTTATGGTTTCGTCCCTTGAATGCGTATTCTGACATTGGCAAACATTTTAATTTTGGCAGAAACTTGACGTGTCAAGTTGTCCGAATATTAGTCCTACCGGGCTGTCTTCCCTGACCCGTGCTACCTCATGTATACAGCAGCTTACTTTAGCTCATGGCTCTCCTGTAAGTCCATCAACTTAATCTCCGTTTTTAACTGTGTACTGCCTTGTTATTTACAAAGTAGGATTGAAGTTGTCTGTTCTTGTTATTTACAAAGTATGATTGAAGTTGTCTGTTCTTGTTATTTACAAAGTAGGATTGAAGTTGTCTGTTCTTGTTATTTACAAAGTAGGATTGAAGTTGTCTGTTCTTGTTATTTACAAAGTATGATTGAAGTTGTCTGTTCTTGTTATTTACAAAGTAGGATTGAAGTTGTCTGTTCTTGTTATTTACAAAGTATGATTGAAGTTGTCTGTTCTTGTTATTTACAAAGTAGGATTGAAGTTGTCTGTTCTTGTTATTTACAAAGTAGGATTGAAGTTGTCTGTTCTTGTTATTTACAAAGTATGATTGAAGTTGTCTGTTCTTGTTATTTACAAAGTAGGATTGAAGTTGTCTGTTCTGTTGGTGGTTTAGGTGACTCTTGCTTTGGCTAATAGTTTGAAAAGCTTGACCATGTTACAATCGGTCAAATTGGATGGGTGTGTTACTACATACGATGGACTCAAAGCCATTGGAAGTTGTTGTGTGTCGCTTAGTGAACTGAGCTTAAGAAAATGTGTTGGTGTGACTGATGAAGGACTCTCCTCCATTGTGAAAAAACATAAAGATTTGAAGAAGCTCGACATAACTTGTTGCCGCATGATAACTGATGTTTCTGTTTCCCATATGACGAACTCATGTGGTGGCCTCACCTCTCTAAAAATGGAGTCTTGTTCCCTTGTTAGCAGAGAAGGGTTCGTCCTGATTGGACGACGATGCCATTTGCTTGAGGAGCTTGATTTAACTGATAACGAAATTGATAATGAAGGTCCTTAATTTTCCTTTTCTGGGTTACCAGTCTCCTTAAATCTCCCTTCCTTGCATACTTATCATCCAGTTCTATTCCATACAGGTCTGAGATCATTATCTAGGTGTTCAAAACTCTCCATCTTAAAGCTAGGAATTTGTCTGAATCTTAATGACGAAGGACTTGCCCATATTGGCACGTCCTGCTCCAAGCTCATGGAGCTAGACTTGTACAGGTTTATAACTTCTCATCATTCCCTCTCTCTCTAATTTTAATGGACTCGGACCTGCGCTGACTTTATACGCGTCTTCGTTTTTTTCTCCTCAGGTGTGTGGGAGTTACTGATTCTGGCCTTTTGGCGATCATCCATGGTTGCCCTGATCTTGAAATGATAAATATAGCATATTGTCGAGATGTCACGGACGTGTCATTTTCATCGCTTCGTAAATGCTCAAGGCTGAAGACAATTGAAGCTCGAGGGTGCCCACTTATCACATCTTCTGGCTTAGCAGCAGCTGTTGTAGGGTGCAAGTTACTAAGGAGATTAGACTTAAAGAAGTGTTGTAATGTTGATGATGCCGGCATGATCTCCCTTGCTCATTTCTCTCAAAACCTCAGACAGGTCACCATTGCTCTCTTTTCACTATTTCTTGGAGTAAAACAGGTAGAAAAGCATCCTATTAACTTCTCTAGTGTCTCTCGACAGATAAATTTGTCGTATAGCTCGGTTACAGACGTGGGACTGTTGTCTCTTGCCAGCCTTGGCTGCCTTCAGCATCTGACTGTATTGCACACCAATAGATTAACTCCAAGTGGAGTTGCAGCTGCCCTGTTGGCAAATAGTTCCTTGACAAAAGTGAAACTCCATGCACTCTTTCAAGCTCTGCTACCCGAACGTCTTCTTAAACGCTTGGAAGTACGAGGATGCACATTCGAATGGAGGGAGAAAATATTTCAGGTACTTGTGTGTGTGTGCATTTTGATCTCTTCATTAGTTTTCATTTTCGGCGTGGACTCTGTGGGAACATCATATACTTTTGCCTCAATTCTTGAACTCGAAAGTCGAATCAATGTTAGGCTACTAAAGAGAGTCCCACATTTTTGTTGCATGTTAGGAGTGGAAGGTGGATCAATTTTTAGGAATGCTTAGTAGGTTTTTACATGATTGGCAGGCTGAGTTGGATCCCAAATGCTGGAAATTGCAGTTGGAAGATGTGATGCAAATTGTGTTATAGGATGATGATGCAAATTGTGTTATAGGATGATGATGCAGAGGTAGGCGCAATATATGGTGGAGAGATTTGGAAGAATTTGTGGAAGCCTATCTTATTTTCATTGGCTCTTCTCCAAACGCCTTGCGTTTCTCTCCTGCTCTTCCAATATATGGTGGAGAGTGAAGCTGTGTTATTTCATGCTCCAAACAAATTCCAAAAACTATCAAAAACTAGTGGCCCTTTTATAGGCCCAAAAGCTATTGTTGGTAGGAGAATTGGGCCAGAGCCCATTTGGTAGTTTTTTTTTTTTTTTTTTTTTTTTTTTTTTTTTTGGGGTGAAGGAGATTTTTTTTTTTTTTTNTTTCGTAAACGGAGATGTTATGCTGAAGCAGCTCTCAAAACTGAAATGAAAACGCTGTCGCTGTCGCTGTCGCTGTCATCCCCCCTTCCTTGTTTAATATTAACTTGTGATCATATATCAAGATTAGAGCTTAAATTATATATTTTGAGTACTATCATTCACTAAGGAAGGAAGAAAAAACATAGACGAGAGAGAGAGAGAGAGAGAGAGGAACAGAATCGACAATATGCCTCGTCCCAGCGCAGGCCACGTACACATAAACGAGACACGTGGCGTGATCTCAGCAGCATAGAGATGAGCCGCCTTCTGAGAAGAGCTCTGACCAGTCCAGTCAAACCCACAAGGTTTGACCGAAAAGGAGAAAATTCCACAGTCAAACTTCCATCTCAGCTTCGAAGAAAGTAGCTCCACGAACCTTAATTGCCAACAAAACAAAATCTCTCCCTCGGTCCTCTCCTCTCCCGCTGCTGCTTTTTTTTTTTTTTTTTTTTTTTTTTTTTTTTTTTTTTTTTTTTTTTTT